AGCGGCTGACTCTGCTGAACCCAACTTTTGTAAAGCGTCTTCATAAGCTGCGTCCTGTCCATCTCGATCTTCACCATTTTCACCATCTTCATGTTCTTGGTATTCCTGGTCTTGATTCACAAAGTTAGCCAGTCTGTTCCAAGGCGATTACCTTCTTAACTCGGCTTGTTGTCTTTNTCTCGGCTTGAGTTGCGAGTTGCGCAGTAGTATCCGCCGATTCTTGCATGGCTCTTGTGATGTGCGTATGTTCTTCGTTAGCATCATCAATCGCTTTCTGTGCGATGTCCGCCTTCTGTCGAGCTTCCAAAGCGGCTGACTCTGCTGAACCCAACTTTTGTAAAGCGTCTTCATAAGCTGCGTCCTGTCCATCTCGATCTTCACCATTTTCACCATCTTCATGTTCTTGGTATTCCTGGTCTTGATTCACAAAGTTAGCCAGTCTGTTCCAAGGCGATTACCTTCTTAACTCGGCTTGTTGTCTTTTGTTGTAGTTCCTTGCAGGAGCTCGACCACTCCCTGAATGCAGCTCTGGGCAGTTAAATACTAAGNCGCTGTCCTTGCGGTTTCTGTTGTACCACATGTTCCGCGCCGTTTGAGCGATGTCCTCCAGATCATTGTACTCATGCCTCGAGCTGGCATGGTACCTGATCAGTTGATATTCTTGAGGCAGTCCTTGCAACACGATGTCTCCAAGCTTCTCATTTGTGACAGTTCCTCCAATAAAACGAAGTTGCTCCGCAAGATGCCATACATGAGTGATAAAAATATCCGGATCCGTTCCAGTTCGCATGGTCGCTGATTCCAGTTCACGTTCCAGGTTCCGTCTCTGACTAACGACGAGGGCCAGCGTCAAACAACAACAGTATCTCACGCTAGCTGCCTCGAGAGCACGCGAGAGATAGCAGCATCCTGTACCCACTTTGTCAGAAACACCGCGATCATTTACCGATAGAAAATAAGATTAGTGTCCGAGACGTGAACGAGGTGTACCGCATGGAATACTCCCTGAACTCACCACTTTGTTCTTCAGGCCTCTAGGGGTTCCTGTCGAAACACGGAACATGAAGCGTCCGTCCTTCCTGGGCCTCCTGTGCTGACCCTCGACCCGTACCAGCTCGGCCGAACTATCCAAGGGCACGTCCTAAGGGTTGCCGGGCAGCACGTCAAACGAGAACAACACAGGGGAAGAGGGATACAAATGAAAGACGGCAGGAAAACACAGGACGAGAGCGGTGCGATACTTGACTGCTGTGCAAGGCACGGGGGTGAGTTTCGCACAGCATTCCACACCTATGGTGCTCTTGACTGCCCAGACAGGGTTCCCGAATACATGGCCTGTGTTCCCATGGAGTTGGTTGAGAGGGAAGGGACAGTTTTTTAGCATCAAGCACAAGTCACGCGTAGATTCTACCTCACGTATCTCTACTGCATGAACGCCTGATGCGAGCTCCATGAGGGCAATAAAAAGATTCGTTTGGTTTCAACCTCGATTGCGTTTGTTGGGTGCAACACATGGGGGAAGCAAACTAAGGGCGGTGGTAGCAAGGTATATACTTGGCAAGACTTTGCCTGCCCTCTGTGCGTTACTTTACACAGCTTGAGGGTTGAAGCCTCCATAAGGAAGAGCTGGCGTGCCCTCCACCATCGGACGAAGGTCTTAACATTCACAGTCCCTTGGCCAACCTGTTCAACGAGGGTTTCAAGGAGGATTATTAACACGCTTTTCGGCGGGTCTGTGGAGGTGAGGCGACCTATCCATCCTGTACGGAGCGGTGCAACGCCCCCACAGCACGCCTGTGTTGTGAGCGGGTGGGTGGGTGAGTGAGTGGATGTTGGAATCCTGACTTTGAGGCTACCTCATCTGTCGCTGCCGCGTCTATGAAGCATTAGTCTTTTTTACCGGCTTGTTGGCTCTACTGCACTGTTGAAAAAAGCCTCGACCTGAATCTTTTTCCAAGTCCGTCACTGGCCCACTGATCGCCGCAACACAATGCCGCTGCCGCTGCCGCTGCCGCTGCTGTCGTCGTCGTTGCGGCCGCTGCTGCTGCTGCTGCTGCTACTGCTGCTGCTGCTGCTGCTGCTCCTGCTGTCGTCGTAATCGTCGCTGCTGCTGCCACTGCCGATGCTGCCGCTACTGTCGTTGCTGATCGCTGTTCCGTCGTCATCGCTGAGGCCGACGGTGGGTTGCCGGCGACGTCACTGGGCGCATCGTTTAACGCCACCTCTCCTCCTGTTAGCAAGGACGAGGGTGCCCGAGTCGGCAATCGCTAGTGGCGCTAGAGCACACAACAAAACATTTGTCGCGGGAAACACGTACTAGTGACAATGGAAAGCGAACAATACCGGCGGCATGTTGAACGTACGAGCCAAGATGGCTGATTCGGGAAACCGGCTCTCTTCGCTAGCTCTTCGCCCCCCGATTTCCCTTGGTTCGCCTCAATTATTTTCCTGTCGTGATGCCGTGATGTGCACAGTTTGATTGAGCAATACAAGGCCTCCGCGTGGGGAAAGCCAACAGGCAACCACATGCCTCACCCGGAAAAATCCCGTTGTTCCCAGGGACGTTGAGTCTGCATTTTGTTTTGGCACCTCTATATTCCGAGGACATTTTTTGATGTCGATAAATAAAGCAACATTCTCTTGGCACGCTCTCCTGTACTAAACCTAAACACCGCCGCTGAGGCGGCGCATCATAATAGTTTTTTTTTTTGAAAAAGTGTGGCCCGTTAGGGGTACGCTNTTGTTTTGCAAAAAAAAAGCTGTTTAGAGGGATCGTGTGTGGAGTATGTGCGCACGAGAAAAAGAATAATTTTCATGCCCAGGGGCGTGAAAATTACCAATTGAAAATTACTCCATGGCTGTCTGTCTGGTGTCTGTCTGGTGTCTGTCTGCGCGCCCTAAATACCCAGCAGACTCGAGCCCATTTCACCATCTCGGCACCAAATTGCAAACTAAAACTTGCGCACAACAAGTAATATTTTGCCCGAGCTGTCCCAACCGCTACCTTTGCAATCCGTGGTCGGTGTCTCGAGATAGCACACCGTTTGTGCAAATATATATGTCACATGGACGCATCCCCGGGAGGCGTCGTCATTTTTGTTTTTCTCTGGGCAACAAACTACACGCACGCAAGAA